ACTACTACTACTACTACTACTACTACTACTACTACTACTACTACTACTACTACTACTACTACTACTACTACTACTACTACTACTACTATTACAGCTTCTCACAAAACTGAAATGAGTATGTTACATATCTTCTATGAAGCTGACTTTATTCACCAATAGTTATTTTCCTCTTTTTTGTTGTTGTTAATGCATTCAGGACAAAATGAATAACTACAGTGAAGATTCTACGCACCCTCACAATACTTTACTTTAATCTATGGGTATATCACTTTAGAAAACATAGTCGTCTGCCAGTTGGAGCGTATAATATGGTTTGAGAAGTTAGCTTTTTCGTATGCTTCAAAACGGTTTTAGCCTATCTAATAATATATTATATTATGGTGCCCTTACATACGCAGCGTCTCCTAAATATTTGCTGAATCGGCCGAATGGCAGTGAGAGAAGTGCTTAGCTCAATCCTTCGGGTACGCCAGCACGACTCAACGCTTCTAGATTAACACAAATAAAATTAGCTCAATCTTCTAGGTTAAGATGCGTTCAACAAAGAAGGACTTAAGTATGAAGAAATGTAATTCGAAGTAAACAATTAGGAAGGTTTTTTTTCTTTAATAATATTGACATGGCCAAGTACTTAAGGTTTTCCTCTCAGGTTTGAATTGTATTTCCTCTGATTTCGAGAACAGCTAAAGAAACCTTCTTAACTCGGTAAATAAATGTAATAATTGCTTTGGTGACTATAATGTTTTCTTTCAATAAAGATTCCATCGTTGTGAAGAGAAACCAAAGACAGGGAGAGAAACGAAACTACCCAAAAAACATGTTGGCTCAACTCCCTAGTTACAATACACAGACGGACAATGAACTAAATGGCTTTGACACCTAACAAGATCACCACCAGACATTTATAGCAGCGAGACCATACAACAAGAAATCAGACGGAAACAGAAAAGGGTAGGCCCAAGAAAAGATTGATAGATAGAGGGAGAGAAACATTAGTCAAGAACAACGTAACCATGCAACAGGCGATGCAACAAAGATGAGACAGAAAGACGTTTGCTCCCCCCCCCCGCTCGACACAGCAAGGTACGTAACAGAGGCGGGAAAAGTAAAGTGAGTGAGTAAAGATAACTTATAAGCGGTGTC